ATATAAACGGTCAACAGGATTAAACCCGATCCTGCCGAGGTTGGTGGGATAAAATCCGAACCCAACAAAATAAAAACGGTCAGTGGAATACAATTCAAACCCGCCGAGGTTGGTGGGATACATCCCAAGCCCAACAGATATAAACAGTCAGCGAGATTAAATCTGGTCCTGTCGAGATTGGTGGGATAAAATCCGATCCCAACATTCCATTGGTCAGTGGGACAATACCCGATCCTGCCATTCAATTGGTCAGTGGGATAATATCCGAACCTATCGTACCATTGATCAGTGGGATATTACCCGAGCCTATCATAGCATCGGCTAATGGATAATACCAGAATCTGCCATTCCATTGGTCAGTAGGATAATACCTGATCCTGCCATTCCATTGATCAGTGGGATAATATCCGAACCTGCCATACCATTGATCAGTGGGATATTACCTGAGTCTGTCATAGCATCGGCCAGTGGATAATACCCGAACCTACCATTCCATTGATCAGTGGGATAATACCCGATCCTGCCATTCAATTGATTTGTGGGATGATACCCGATTCTGCCATTCAATTGTGAGATAATACCCGAAGCTGCCATTCCATTGGTCAGTGGGATGATACCCGAACCTGCCATTTAATTGGTCAGTAGGATAATACTCGATCCTGCCATTCAATTGGTCAGTGAGATAATACCCGATCCTACCATGATGATTATTCAATAAGAAATTAAATTTGTTTTGTCAAGAAGGGGGGTAGAAGGGTGTGCAGTGGACGCTGAGACTCACCAACAAGAAATTAAATTTGATTTTTCAAGAATGGGGGTAGAAGGGTGCGTGGCGGACGTTGAGACTTCACCAACAAGAAATTAAATTTGAAATTAAATTTGATTTGTCAAGAATGGGGGTAGAAGGATGCGCAGCGGACGCTGAGACTTCATCGAAGTTTTATGTCATTTTCTGGGTTTGCTTATTCAAACACATGAAGATCAACCATAAACATTAAATGATAGCTTCACGAATTCATCATATAACCCCCATAGAAAAACACAAACTACTATCCCCAGAATCCAGGTCGAACCCCATAGATTCTTTAACCATGAACCAAAAACAGGAGCAACAGAGAAACCCAGACTCAGCGTGAGTTCTGGACTGAAATACCTTGATGAAGATCTGCCGGTGATAATGGTGGACTGAAATGGTAGCAGCGGTTCCACTCCTCATGATAGGCAATAGCTTCAGTGGCTCCTTGGTCCCTTCAAGAAAAGCACCAGACCAGATTTTCTCTCCGCTTCTCCCTTGCTCTTTCTCTCTCTCACCCTTTCGATTTTCTTGCTTTTTCTTTTCCTTCAGCCCCCCAGAAACCCTAACTTTCTTCCTTTCCAGATTCTCCCTTGTTTCTATCCTTCCCAAGCCCGTAGCTTTTCTTTTCTTTCTCCCTCACCAGAATCTCTCTTTTCCTCTCTTATTTTCTCCTCTCAGCCGCCTCTCTTGCTTACTCTCTAGCCGTCCTCCCTCTTCCAGGCCGCGTTCCTCAGCCTTTTATAGCTACAAGAAACACTCCAACCCTAGCATCCAATGATGCGGATTGGAGTGGCATTTTCAGGATGATATACAAGCCATTAGATGGCCTTTGTCCTATGATTCTCTTGATGTTGGAATCAAAGCCAGGTGACTTGAGAGTGAAATGATCCAATGGAGCTAAAAAACCCAAAAATAAACGCGAGAAAAGAGCTAGAAGTTTGTAGCTGCAATTTGAGCCTTGTTCCTGGTTTCTGTACAAAACCAGGAAAGATGTGCGCGTGCTAGGCATGCACGCGTGAAGCATCATTTTTTTTTATGATTTTGATTTTATTGTTTTCTTTTCTACTTTTCTTTTCTTTCTAATGAATGAATAAAAGAAATGATTTTCTTTAACAAAGTGGAAATAGACAAAAATTTAAACAAAATCAACTAAAATGAAATAAAAATGATAAAATTTTTGTGTTTGATTGATGATTTTTCTTTTTCCTTTCCAATGAATTAATTAATAATAATAAAATGATTTTCCTAACAAAAATGAAAATTAAATAAACAAAAATTAAAACAATATCAACTAAATGAAATTAAAAAAAAAGAAAGACTAAAATTTTGGTGTCTACATATTCTTGTCTCTCTCATCCTGCACCCTGTTAAGGAAAACAAATAAAGAGATGAGCTAGAAGTTCAGCGAGATTCCTAGAAAATATGCAGTCAAATTGGCAAAATATCTTTCATATATTTCAAAATCTTAGAACGAAAATAGTGAACAGTTACAAGCAGAGTCATTAACAGCTCAAACATTCAAATAAGTAATTTAACACCAGCAAGAAAGGATATGGTACTGATATGGTGGCTTTCACCAGGTTCTAGACAAAGCACCCAGAATTCAAACGTTGATACAACTGATGTGGTGTTCCTGCCCAATTTCAAGCGTAGCACTTAGTCTTGTACAGTGTTTCACTTGCAGCCAGCTTCATAGTAACATCTTCTAGGTCCGTTGACACTTCGTCAACGTTTGAAATATAGTAACAAGTTCAGTAAAATACCGTTTATCTCTAATCTCCGTCTACCGATCAACCCCTACCGAGCTCGAATACCAAGATAACAGAGATGGTAACAGAAGTGGTAATACTCAAGTATACCCAAGCAAGAACAAGTATGGTCGATGAGATAACTCTCCAATTGATTTAATCAAGATAGAGGTACTGAGATGGGAATAAGAGGTACCTCCCACTCAAATTGAGTGTGGTACATGCTGTCGCTCAGTACTAGGGTCGATGAGATAACTCCTCAATCGACTTAATCAAGATAAAAGTATTGAGACGGGAATGAGAGGCATCTCCCATTCGAATTGAGTGTGGTACATGCTGCCGCTCAGCACTTACAAGTCAAGCACAAGCACAAGCACAAGTACAGGTCAATCAAATTCAAGCAAGTACAAGATCATTCAAAAAGGGGAGGATGAGTGTGATAAAATACACTCTCGCCTCATCAAGTTCAATATTCAACACATAACACGTAGTATCATTCAAATCAAGATATCAAGAACATGCACTTGGCACTCACCAGTTTAAGTAAAATAACGTCAAAAGTTCGCTCCCAAGTTATGCCCTTGATCATCAACAAACCCTAAGAACAACTAAGATAGAGTATTATGGTTCAACCATTCAAAACTTAAGTGAACCAAAAAAATCCAAGTAATTACTAGTGCAAATATGTAAATATGGTTTTGGAGTGAAAAGAGAACATTTGGACCCAAAGAACATGAGTAACCAAGCAATTCCTCATTCCAATTCATGGCTAGAATTTCCAGCAACAAATAGCTAAAAAGACAACCAACCTCGAGGTTAAAGTGAAACAAATGCAACTAGAAAGCATGCTAGAAGAAACCATTACTTTTTCTCTTATTTTACACATGGTTTTGTCAAAATTTCACGTTATACACTATCATCAAAGTACACTCAAGAAATCACATGTAACCTAAGTCCAAACCAACCTAAAATCACCCCTCTAACATCACTTATTTCACAAGAAAGAAGGTAATAAAAATTTCAGCAGCACTTCCCCTCGTTTCTTTACTTTTCGATCCAAACTCAACACCTGTGCTCATATCAATTCAACTTCAATCACAACCACAAGTTACAAGTTATCAAGTACACTTGTTTAAGGCCACAAAACCATCCAATATAGCCAATTTTCTAGCTCAAAAATCAACCACAACAAAACTGAAATTTTGAAACCCTAAGCTGAAATTTTTCATAGGCAAGCCATAATAACTTATAAAAACTAGAAAATTCACATGGCAAAACTACTAAATCATGGCCAAGCTCAACGCATCATAATAAAGCTGAAATTTCACCATCAAAGTTGAAATTTTTGAATCACCACTCAAACCATGAAATTTCTCATGAAAACTACCAAAATCAAGTTCTAAATCCACTCTTATGCAAGTATTAAAAGAAAAGAGGGCTGCTTGATATAGTTACCTTAATACACTAACAAGAAATGGAAACCAAGTGCTTCTTTCTCCCAAATCATTCTACCAAAATCCTTAATCCTCCCAAAATGTCACTTTTTATGGTTTGGATTGCAAGTTTATGATGAAACTCAAAGATTCAAGCAAGAAATGGAGGTTGAAATTGAAGCTTATTTTCTCTCTTTTCCTCTCATGAAAGTCAGCCAAGGGAAGAAGATGAAGGGTTGTTTTTTGGTCAATTTTTCTTTTAATTAAAGGCTAAGAATAGTCCAAGTCAAGGTCAAAATTCCATGAATTTTGTGACAATTCTCCTTCTAAAGTTAATCCTCATCCTATTGTCTTCCAATCATTAAAATATCTAGCCAATGTCTAATTATCGCATAACGCGTTATAAAATAATATCCCTTTGTACAAAACTCCTCTTAATCTTCAAAAATTTATCGCACACCCCTCACTAGTGAGTCTCAATTCCATAATGCACTAATTTATAGTAGAAAAATGATTAAAATCTTGACTCTCTTAAAAAAATATATGAGAAATTAAGGAAATAAAGTAAAGTAAGGAAAATGTACTCAAAGAAATAAGATAAAATAAAAATAATTTTCGAGTCCTCACATGCCATAACTTGGTTCTAACTTCCAAAGATTCCCCCACCCCAAACCTGCCCCATTGCAATCCTTAAACAAGGCTAATCTTATCGACAAGATGTCATAACTTGATTCTAACTTCCAGAGGATCAATTCAGTAGTACTGCTTGCTTCTTCTTCTTCTTCTTCTTTTTTTTCACAACGATAACAATTATATAACCTACTTTAGTCTAGTCTAGGAAAGAAAAATTATAATCGATGGAGAGCCGTCGGATAGAGCTACTTGAAAGTGACAATCACGATTATCTGACAAGTATACGCTAACCCCACCAAGACCACCAAGTTACCAAGGCTGTTGGCAGTTCTGTAGTACTGCTACTTAGTTGCGTAGTGGCGGGCATGGTGGCGCCAGCACGTGCCAATGAAAGTAACGGAAGAATGCTCCTGACCTTGAGAACCAAGGTGAAAATGGCATCATCGCCCAGGTTTTCCCGCCATGTCTCATATGTTCAAACTGCAATAACTACCCATAACAGTCAACCAAAACATCATGACCATCGTCAAAAGTCTGATGCATTATCTGAAAATCTCTTGCTTCTCTTGAAGCAATGCAAATCCATCCGTCCCGTCCAGCAAATCCATGCCCAAATACTTATTAATTCCATTTACAAGCACAACTTTCTCCTTGCAAAACTCATTGCTCTAAAAGACTTCAGCTATTCCCTTCAGCTCTTCTTGCATCTTCCCCATCCTAATGACTATGCATTCAACGTTTTCATTAGAGGGCTCACGACAACGTGGGGAAAATTTGATCTTGCATTGCAATTTTACTGCAAAATGAAGTCTTTAGGTGTAAAACCGGATAATTTCACGTACCCGTTTGTGTTTATTTCCTGTGGCAATCTTTTGGACTTTGGGCATGGTAGATTAGCTCATTGTGAGGTGTGGAAAAATGGGCTGTGGTTGGATTTTCATGTGTGTCATTCTTTGATCACGATGTACTCGAGGTTTGGTGAGTTGAGTTTTGCACGGAAAGTGTTTGATGAAATTCCGGTTAGAGATTTGGTGTCGTGGAATTCAATGATTTCTGGGTATTCCAGGGCTGGTTTTGCTGGAGAGGCGGTGGAGTTGTTTTATAAAATGAGGAATGAAGAGGTTGCACCTGATGAAATGACTCTTGTGAGTGTTCTTGGTGCTTGTGGGGACTTGGGGAACCTGGACTTGGGGAGCTCTATTGAGAAGTATGTTGTGGAGAAAAGCATGGAGATAAATTCTTACATGGGGTCAGCTTTGATTGACATGTATGGGAAATGTGGGGATTTGGGCTCTGCAAGGAGGATATTTGACAATATGGGGAAGAAAGATGTGGTTACTTGGAATGCCATGATTACTGGGCAAGTAACTCTGCTCTTAAGTTTTCTTTGACTCAATTGAGTTCTTCATTTGCCTTGAATGTACTTCCAGACCATAGTTGTTGTGCTTTTCTGTTTTATGCTTACTTGCGATGATATCGTTCTGCAGTTTGATTAAGCAGTTTAGTAAGTTATAGAGTGGGTGTTAAGACATGCTTTTAAGAATGTGAATCGACATGCTTAGCATTAGAATTACATCTTATTAAACAAGCAAGTAGATTCTTTTATAGAAAATGTAAATGTTTGCATAAACATGTATGGACATTTTTAGCATGACTTGATGCTTTTGAATCTTATATCTTTTTCAAAAGGAGACTTAAATTTTCTAAGAGAAGATGGTGCTTTTTATAACAGCTTTAGTTGGTTGTAATTCATAAAAAAGAACTTGGGTTATACTTCTGGAAAAAGTTGTAACTTAAGCATTTAATCTTCCATTAAATTTTCTGCCCCTTATTTCAGAAAAAAAAAATAACACAAGTGCAAAAATATTTAGAAAAAATTTATAAAAGTACAAAGTCTTGTGGTAGCATCTGTACCTAATTGAGCTTATCTCAAACTTAAGAAAATGTTCATGAAGACAACCAATTATTGGGTTGATTTAACTGCCTACGTGAGACTATTATTTTGTATTTTCATTTTCGTTGATTTTTCTGAAGCTGTCAAAGATAGAAGTAGATTTACTACCTCTTGGAGTTCAAATATTTTCTTGTGATTTTTGTCTAATACTTTCATTTTCATTAGAGATAGTGGTGAACTTCTTGTTCTGGGAACTATTGTCGAGTCTCACTTAACTGCCTAGCATTCTGCTTTGCCTTGGTAACTTTAGTATTTGGGCTTAATATTGTGAAACGAAATCACAAAAAGAAAAGAGAGAATAGCTTGAAATTTAGTTTGTGAGTGTGCTTTCAGGAGAAGGTAAGGGAATGGAAAGATTTTAAAACTTTCAAAGACTTCTTTTTCTTTCTGCAAAGTAGGAGGAGATGGTGAGAAATTTTAGGCTACTGGATGGAAATTGCTGATATCTCCTTTGCCCATCAAGTGTAAACAAATGTGTAAGTTGCATTATCTAACAATCCTTTGGCTTAATGTGTCTCAAAAGAGAGCAAGCAAACTTTTATTGTTTCTCTAATTTCTTTGCTCCTTGTTAAAGATTTTTTCATTTTCCTTTCTTTCCGAAACTAAACAAAAATAACCTAGTGCATAAGATATATATATATATATATATATATACATATATTCTTTTAGCCTTTTTTTGTTTGGAGAAATATTTTAACTGGAACTTTTTTTTTTCCTTATATGAGTAACAGAAAATTTTGGAATCTTTTGACACATATTGAATTAAACAAGGAAAGAGTGTGGATTTCTTATCTGCCTGAGTAGGATGGTGACTTAGTCAGGTTGCTTGATGTTATATCTTCAACAAGGTACTAATAATACAAACTGAACAATTTCTTTTTCGTCTTCTTCTCTTTTTTACCCCTGACAGATACGCACAAAATGGCTTGTCAGATAAAGCAATGTGCTTATTCAATGCCATGAAAGCTGCAGGGGTGGATGTGGATAAAATCACTGTGATTGGAGTGTTGTCTGCATGTGCTTCAGTTGGAGCTTTGGACTTTGGAAAATCTATATACAAGTATGCATCACAAAGTGGCTTAATGGATGACATATATGTTGGTACTGCATTGATTGACATGTTTGCTAAGTGTGGGAATCTGGACCTTGCATTTCAAGTTTTTGGAGACATGCCCATAAAAAATGAGGTATCCTGGAATGCAATGATCTCTGCTCTTGCTTTTCATGGGCAAGCTCAAGAGGCTCTGTCATTGTTTGAGCGCATGTTAAGGGAGGGTGGTAGTACTTCCTGTCCAAATGACATCACATTTGTTGGTCTGCTTTCTGCATGTGTACATGCTGGATTGGTCGATGAAGGCTGCCACTTGATTGATTTGATGAGCTCATCTTTTGGTCTGGTTCCGAAAATTGAACATTACTCTTGCATGGTGGATCTTTTCTCACGTGCTGGACGAGTATATGAAGCATGGAACTTGATTGAGAAGATGCCAGAAAAGCCGGATGAAGTTCTCTTAGGAGCACTCCTTGGTGCCTGTAATAAAATTAAAAATGTTGATGTTGGTGAGCGCGTAATGCAGCTTCTCCTGGAGATGGAGCCTTCAAACTCTGGCAACTATGTGATTGCATCAAAAATCTATGCAAATCAAGATAGGTGGGTTGATTCAGCAAGGATAAGATTGTTGATGAGACAGAAAGGCATAAGTAAGACTCCAGGTTGTAGCTGGATTGAAATGGATAATAAACTTCTTGAATTTCATGCTGGTGAAACTTTACATAGTGCACAAAAGGTTTATCAAGTGCTTAACATGCTGTACAAAGAGATGATGATGGAAGGTGGAATGTCAGATTCATATGTTCACTTAGTGGAAGAGTAGAACTTTAGATATTGGCAGGTTGGTGTTACAGTACATCTTAATTCGAGAAATATCAAGTTTCTTACTAAACTAATGAATGTTCAAAGGGAATTTGCTTTTAAAATCTTCCTGCATAATGTTTCTTTGCCACTCTTGAAGAAAGAAGCGTGTGACCATAAAATTGAATATATGCTGATCAAATTTTAGTTGTTAGCAAACTTAAGTTTGAGTCTTGTAAAGAAAATGCTATTAACCATAATTATCTGCCAATATTAACCCAAAAAAAAAAGGAACAAAACAGATCAATCTTGAACAGCTTCATGGCTGGATTTCTTTCTTGATGCTTTTTTTAAAAAAAAAAAAATTTTGTTCTCTTGCAAAGGTGGATATTTAAATCAATACTGGTAGCAAAGTACATTTTTAGATGACATATAGCTTGTTTAGCCTATTAGTGTGACTACACAAGTTGCTGCAAGACAGGTGTAAATTGACAACATTTCTCTTCTTAAATTGACACTAGTTGCTATCATGCTTGTCATTTTTTTGTCTTATCTTTTGAAATTTGTGTCTTATTTTAGCTTTTGTAAGTTTGCCAAAGGATACTACCCTATCTACTTGAACCTGTTTTGCTGATACAGCATTATAATGCGTTGCTCTAAACTAAACCTGCAACTGGGATATTGCAGGTTTGTGGATGGTTCCATTTGTTTATTTCTTCTGCTCAAGCTGAAAATGAGAAAGGAAATGAAGAAAGAGGAGATTTACCAAATATGTTTGCATCTACATTGCTGAGGTTATTGCTCAGGTTTTGGTTTTGCTTCTTTACTTCTATTTGTAACTTATACCTTTCTTTTGGCGCTTGCATATACCCTTACGTAGTTAGATTACTACTTAACTTCTCTGTTTTTCTGCATAAGAATCTGGAGAAGGTGGTGATTATCACTGAAAGTTGACAGAGCGGATGAGGATTGAATAAGAAACAAATGCTTTGAAGCATTCGGCCTCAAGGTAGATACTGTTGCTTAGTTATATTCATGCTGTGGACTTGACTTGAATTATGCTTTCTTACTTGGCCGATTCTTTTGCAGGTGAAGCTCTTTCAATACCAAGGAGAAATTTCTGTCCCGAACATTGGTAAGCACTTAAAAGTTTTATGGCGCCGTTGTCTTTTCCTGCTCAAAGTATTGAAGCTTAAACAGATTGTAGATGGAAGTCCGTCAAAAGCCAACAATTATTCTTAATGATATATATATATCTGGCTTAAATTTGAAATTTTTACTACTGTTGGTGACAAATTATTTGGGTCACATAACTTTTTTAAAAAATCTATACTTCATTTTGCTGGACCTTAACCAAGTTTCTTTTTATGGGGTGGTTGTGACTTTTATTACATCTATTTTGTTTGCCATCAACTGTTCTTGAGAAATCTGAAGATGATGCATATCCAATATGCTTGTGGGACAATTTTATCAGTTTAAAATTATAACTGGATTGTACTTATGTTGAGATAAAAGATATGCTGTGCCCTTTTGAATTATGCTTGTGGGACAATTTTATCAGTTTAAAAGTATAACTGGATTGTACTTATGTTGAGATAAAAGATATGCTGTGCCCTTTTCAATTATTACTCTAGATGTCAAAGAAAAATGGCTAAATAAGATGCTTGAGTAAAGAATGTTCTTCATAGAATGGCTAGTTTGAGGACGAACCATCATCTATATATTGGAATATGGTCAATTATGGAGGTGAGAAATTTTTTATCAGCCAACAAAACACCTGGTTATGGCTTGGATCGTTAGATTACTCGAATCTTTTTAAATTACATCGAAGCATTTTTTTTTCAGGAAATACTTGTCTTTTTGTCTATTTTCACTTCATTTGGTGCTTTATTTTGTTTTGGTGCATTTACAATTGAAAATTCATTTCAGTTTAGGGACTTGAAATTCCATTGACAAGGAAATCATAGACTTTGAAGTCTTGTATAATGAATCAGCCATTTTAGAGGTTTTTGAAATCCATAGCTTTTAGCCAGTAACTAGGTATTAAAAATGGTTTTTTTTTGGGGGGGGGGGGGGAGGATGGGAAGGGATGGGTTGGGTGGTAAGGTGGGAGGAGTTGTAAGTGGGTTCAAAACCTCCCACTTACCAAAAAAAAAAATTCTAGGTGTTAAAAATGAAATATATTCTGATTTGATCCCATACCTTTGCTTTGAGTTTGTAGAAGTCAATTTGCAATGTTACAAATATTGTTTTTGGGAGATGATAATAGGCAATGTGTAGCTCATAGGTTCCTTTTTGATAGGTGGTTGGACTGGTGCTTCAATGGCTCTTATATTAGTGGATTTGAGTTAATGCTTTGTTGGTCATTTAATCACTTTGTAGCGGTTTTGAAATTGACATGAAATCTAGACAGGTGTGGGCAATTGGAAAATGCCTTGGGTGCAGATTTTCTATGAACAAGTTCATCATCTGTGTGTTCAAGCTTGAGCTAGGTTCAATATAATCAGCTGTGAGCTCCATTGAGTTCCAATAGTCAAGGTTGAACTTGACTTGGTAAAATCTAAAGCTCAGGGTTCAGATTAGAAGTCAAGTTTATCTATTCAGGCCTGTGTTAAATCATACTCACGTTCATCTATTTTTCTCTTTGCTTTTGTTCCCATTTGGATATCTTTTATTAAGTTACGATCTGTGATTGAAGTTACCTGATTGGATACCAGAAGCTTTGAACCTTCAGACTAGATGAGTTCTGCAGAAAGGATTGTTAAATAAATAAAAAAAGGCGAAATTTAATTGTGGAAACTGAAATAGAATAAAGAAAAGGAAATGCTCAGATGTCAATATTTGTTTTAATTTCCTTTTAAAATATTTGCAAAACAACTAGTAGATTGTCCAATTTCGGGTTTTCTAAAAATATGCCAATACTGACATCAAAAACCAGAAAGGGAAAAAAGAGGAAAAAGAAAACAGCCATAGAAACATATGTGACTTGAGCAAAGAGTATTGAACAGAAAAATTGCAGATTTCATTTTGCTTGCATAATAAATCATTGCAGCATTTCACCTTGTAGGGTATGGGAATCGCCTAGTAACCATGTCTGAGTCCTCATTCAGGTAGGAAGGAGTATAATATTGGAGGAATTGGTAAGTCAACAAACACTGGTTTTCAATTAAGTGAGATGCAATTCTATTCAGTGATTTTCGTTATAATGTTCTATACCTTTCTATCTGCCATGCTTTTAAGCAAGGTGCTCCTCCAGTGTCATTATGAACTGGGTGAGGCAATCCTACAATCTCCAACTTGTGTTGGGATGAAATTCAGATATACAAAATTAGATGTTCGAAAATAACAGAAGAAGAAATGCATGTGTTGGGATATAACAGTTGCTTGGGGGGGTGGGAGATTGGGGGGGGGGGGTGTGGGGGAAGGGGGAGACCTCCAGAGGCATGAAGTCTGGTGCTGAAGCAGACATAGTAGTCATCAACTGAAATACATTTGTGAATCTAATAAGAAAAAAGAAGTGCTAGATTGAGTTGTTTGGTTGGGGGATGACTTGATCCTTTTGGAGATTTGGGCAGCATGGAACATACTATGGAATTCTCTCATTCCATAGGAGCAATTTGAGGAACTTTTTGTTCTACCCTGCATGATTTGAAAGATTTTTTTGAATTTCTATTTGTTGTTAATCAAGATAAAATACAATGTATTTGTTGTTAATTTTCATAAATTTCTTGGGCTTGCCATTACAGACGTTGGAGTTTGTTTGACATGCTCTAGATCATTTGTGAAAATACTGTTAAGTGGTATAGGGATGGTAGAGTCTTCCCTATTGTTAGATTTAGAATTCGAATCCTGTGCTTGGCACTTGGCACTTGGCGATGGAAAGGGTGTAGGGAGGGTTTGGAAAAAAAAAAAAAAAAAAAAAAAAGAAGTTAGTATGGGACTAGTCTAATATTGACAACACTTGAGTGAGAACGAAATATGTCAAACACTCGCCTTTTTTTTTCGCTTCCATAACTACGCTTTACTTTCAAGTTTGAGGTGAAATTCATTATCTGGAATTTGGTATACTAAGCTTGCTTTCTCTATCAATTGCTGCAAGCGAAGCTAAAATATGCAAGTTAAGAAGTTATCAGTGTTAACCTTGTCGCATGAGTTAAGAAGTTATCATCGTTAATCCTATTTTGTAGGTTTGCACATGATGCATAAAGTAGTATTTGTTGTTCTATCTAAGTTGGATTAGAAATGGATAAATAAAGTTGTTTCGAACATGATTTTCATCAACTTTGAGCACTTGATGGAACAATTATTTGTAACAAATAACATTAATTTCTACCGTCAATTATATGCAAAAGCAATTCATACTATAGCCCTTTGGCCTTCATAGCCATAAGCCATGTCATCTATTTTTATCGCCAAATTATACGTACTTCTAATTTGTATCTTTTATTTTTTTTTTTTTTTTGGTGCAGATTTCAGCATTGATCATGTCACTTCTTTATAATGGCTATATCTTTTTATCCTCCATCGTATCTGTATAGTAAATCTACTAAGTAGGATCTAGTTTTCCCCACTTTTTGTGGGATTAAAAGATTGTGATGTAGATTAGTTTGCACAATATTGGTTCAATAATTTTGATTATTTGTTAGATTTTATCTTTCAAGTTTATAGCTAAAATAACGTGAACTTTTATACATTAATCGAAAACATTGTAAATAGGAGGTCCTTGGTCCAAAATCTCCTATTTATATAAAAAACCATATACAACTAAAAATAGATAGAAAAACTATTTTTCTTAGTAATCCTACTTCTATAATAGAACAACAGTTTCTATGTATTTTCCCCCCTTTTACATTATCTAACTACAAAGTCTTTTAGAAAACACATTATATAACTACAGAGTTTTTTAAAATAAAGTCTTATGCATTACCTTCTGCTATTGGGCAACGGAATGAAATCATACCACACGATGCTCGGTTTTAAGCCTTCTAGTTATTAACATATCTAGTCTATGTGGCAATGCCAATCTTCCCAATTGATTTCAATTGTTGACGTGTTGCTCTCCCATTGGTCAATTGGTTGTAGTCCAATTGATTGCAATTTGATGAGGTGTCATCTTGTGATTCGTCAATTGGTGATAGTTCTCCCAATTGCATATAAAATTGATGATATGTCGACTTTTGATTAAATGGGAGGTGGCAGTCCTCTAATTGTAAGTGGGATTGTGCTAAAATTTTGTCTCTCTTTTTTTCCACATTAACAAAAATTTGGACTCCTTTTTTTTGAGTGTGCACCAAATCATGTCTAATTACAAATTTTCACGTCTAATTACCAATTTTTTGTAATTAATTGTTAATAACTAATTAATAATGTGATGTTTTTGGTCACCCAATAAATCACGTTTAATTAACAATTTTTTGCAATTATTAACAAAAAATTGGCTTCTTTTTGTGGTTGCACAAAAAATCACATTTAATTATCAATTTTGTTTCAAATGTTATCAAAGACTTTCCTCTTTTATTTTGGATCAACAAAACATGTTTAATTATCAATTTTTTTGCAATTAATAATTTCACTTTTTTATTGCCTAACAAAACACATTTAATTACCAGCCTTTTGCAATTATTAACACTTTTTTTTTGGTTTCCAAATAAATCACAATTAATTATCAAATTTTTTAATTAATTGTTAATCAGCCTATAGAGTCTAAACGTGAATGTAATTGTGAAGCGTGTTAGTTTTTTGCTTATGTGGCAGCTAGTGATAAGCTAAGGTGTGATCGTGCAAGTTACATTAAATAGCTATCAAAGATACAATCAACCAAACACAGTAATTCCGGTATGGTAAAAGGTGCCAAAAAAGAATATTGAAATGGTCAAATAATAGTAAATCCCCCAAAGAATAGGAAACGTAAACGACCAATGCCTATCTTAATGCCAAGTAACCCAAGGGTCTTTTCTTGAAACTCAATCTCTAGCTTTTTCTTAACATTTTGATTATAACAAGAATGACCATAATGATTTCAGTATCAGTAATTCAACTTGAACTTTTTCACACAACCTTCTGCTTTTCTTTTACGTCCCTCATCATATTGTCAATGCCTCTCATCCTTTTTTCAATAAGTTTATACCTATAAATATTGAAGTTCAGGAAACGAACCTAAAAGGTTAAAGATGAAATATACAAATTTATTACCAAGTAAAACTTACTCTAACAACAAAAGTGTAATCAATCTATAAAATAATCAATGAAAAGAAACTAATAATTCATTATTCAAACCACTCTCTTACATCCATAGATATTACAAATTCCTTTATCCTATTGAAATAGTGAAATATCCAAATTAGTTAAAACTTATTCAAAATTGTTTTTCGAAATTAAATTTCTTTTGAATCCAAAACAACAAAAGAATACAGGTACTTTCATAATGGAAGACATGTTATATTATTTTGTAACAAGACGTTTTGACTATTTGGATAGAATAAGTGTAGAAGAGAACGCCTGTGCCATGGTCAAAGTGTAAGCAACATATGTTGCTGCAAAGGGGGAAGTGACCCATGCAAATAGTGCTCGGATTTGTTAGCAAGAATACCTGATACCATGGAAATCTGAATGCTATGTGTTAAAGATGTTTAAGAAGTAATTAGCAACAGAGAAATGAAAACAATCTAATGCTTACTCAAGTGAGAAGTCTATCCCTAAGCAGCAGAGCATTAATTATTTACAGAAATAGCTAAAATTTAAGCCCATCGGTCTAAAGAAACGAAAGGGATGAAGTCAAAACCTCTAATATAGTCAGTATCAAATTAAATACCATGGACGACAGAATAAAATTTATAGCATGGCTTCGTTGATCAATAATGTGATCGAGGGCACCAGTTTCTTGACTGCATGAAACAAAGCAAGTTTAGAAACACCAACAGAACTTGATGTTATTTTTAAAAAAAATCCTGAAATGGATATGTGGAAAAACTTAAATCCAAGGAATAAATCAAAATAGTCATTTTTGCACAGAGGTTGAGTCAGAGAAGTTATCAGATATATCATCATAGTGAAAACATGCGAGCATGGCTCATCCCAAGTAAAGCGAAAAGCTAAGCATATAACCATTTCACATCTATTCAACTTTCTTAAAGAATATTCAAAATAATACCACCAGATATGCTTTTTTTTTTCTTTTCATAGGCACCAAGAAATGTACCAATCTCATACTTCTATATAATACAATTGACTATATTTTTCTTGGCATTTTTGCAATGAGCAAAGATTTTATACTTTCCAACAGCTCATGTATAGTTGGTCTTTTGTTTAAAATCCAAATCATCCTTAGCAAGAGATCACTGTTCTTCAGTACCTTTTCATGCCCACAAATCTGCAATCTTGAGTAACTGGCATTGAAAATACTATCACTATTAATATCTATGATGGTCAAATTAACACACTATAAGGCCAAACTATGGTAAATTCAGTTGGATCCGACAAACAAAGTGCATGGTTCTAAATATTGAGATATATAAAATTACATGCATAGAGATAATGCCACCACTTAAAAGAATAGAACATCATTACCTCAAAGATTTAGATACATCACAACAGATGGAATTAAGATGTAAATAATTACACTTCCAAAGAGAATACCTTAGGTGATATTGTACATCAAGTTCATGTAAATGAGTGAACCTTAAAGTTGTAAAATATATGTCAAAAAGCAAATATACACAGGAGACGAATGAACTTGCACATGTAGAACAACTGAATTCTTTCACTATTGTTCTGGATCCTCCTCTCCATGGTTCCCAGCCCCATTGCTCTCCACTGGTCAAGGTAATAACAATGTATGGGAAAAGCTAACAACAAAAAATATTTCTGATTAGTTTAGGTTAATCAATAGTTTTCTTCTTTTTTTTGGGCGATTGAAATGCAACAGTTGTCAGTCTCATATTTTATGAGTTAAAGGTAGAGGTGAGTTTTCTAGAAACCAATTGGTGTGGTATGATACAGTACTATGGAAGTTGATTTTGTGTATACAAACACTTAAAAAACTCCTACAAAGAGAGCTTTCATCCAAAACATATGTGACTATTATGAATGCAAATGACCTGATTAAGCTAATTGATCAAAATTGAGTGAAATTCATGCTATAAAGTTTAATCAGCCAGCACCAGAAAGCAATAACCAAAAAATCAAATAAAAGAAACACATACTACAAGATGAGACTTGATAAGATATGAGGTTGTAATTTCTGTTTTACTCCTAGGATTTTCAGTTTAAAAAAGGCATCAGCATAAGCAAATAACAGGGGAACATATCAATTCATTGAGAAGAAGATGACATTTCACACTACAAAATAGTCTATCTAGAGAACCAAATAAATAATAATAGGGGAACATATAAATTCATTGAAGAGAAGATGACATTTCACACTACAAAATAGTCTATCTAGAGAACCAAACAAATAACCAGACATGCTATGGAGTTCCGAATATGGATGTTGCACTCCACAAAATGAGTTTTTGATTTTTAAAAAATAAAGAAAAAGAGCCTAAAATGAGACTTAAAACATGCGATGGCTTGGGCCCAAAATAATAATTTAAAAAAGATTTTTTAGAAAAAGAGAGTTGCCACTTGGTATTAAGTTTAGGTGTACCAAATCACCCAAAATATATTTTTAATGAAAAAATAAAATCCTTTTTAGATGACTCCAAGTTTTTGAAAACAAGAGAAAAAAGTTCGGGAGTCGCGGTTAAAGAAAGGGAAGGTAAAGATTTGATCTAAGGAACCCTTTCAATCTAGCTAAAGTTAGTTGTAAGATTTAATCAAAAAATTTCTTAATCTAACATATAAAACTTATCACATTTGGATGTTTATATATGGATGCAAATCTAGACCTAGGGAGTATCGAGAGGGAAGAAATGTCTTTTCGAAATTTAATTGTGCATATCACATTAATTGTAAAGTCCAAAAAAGATCTCCTGAAGAGGTCACAAATATGCAAAAAATGATATTCGAAAAAAGAAAATTATAATATAAATAAAATATTCATGGTCTAAAAGAGGAAAATGCAACATAACGGATATGAGAGACTAAAATCTATGACATAATTTTCTTTTTTATAGAGGGGTAATAGCATATTAAGGTTAAAAAGCTATACTCGCCCATTTTCCATGTTCGAAAGGTGACTCTTCTAACCTAATCAAACAAATAAACTAACTTACTTCTAATTTCTTAAAATGAGATGCAATTCTAAATGATATGATCCAAACATATAGAGGGTAAGGAAATAATAGTAGGAAAAATATCAGGTAAATGAAAAAAACCTAAAAATAGAAAAAAATGCATGAGATGCAATAAATGTTACACCAAAGCATGAATCTAGCATATCGATGGCCTAAAGAGTCTAGCACTAAACTAACCCATTTCTATAAGTTCTCACTAATATTGGACTAGTGAAAAATCGGGGAGAAAAGTCACAACTAGTATTGGACTAGCATTGTGACGTCATGCACTCATTATAAATAAATAAAAGGGCAAAAAACCTCAGCGGCCATTAAACTAATGACGGGATCATGTTTTGGCCATCGAACTTTTTTTTGTCAATAATTGGCCACT